TATATAATTTGGTTTTATTTCAAAACGTGAAACTTTTATTTCGTGTTTTCGCTCGAACAACGCTGCTCTTCTTCCTTCTTTCTACGCATTCTCTGTCAAGAAATTTGTTGCAGAGTGTATCAAATTTATCATGCACGATTGAGGTGTAATTGGAGAAACTTGTCGATAATTTCAACTAATATAACTTTGTCGAAAGAAGAAACTATATAACTTGGTTTTATTTCAAAGCGTGAAACTTTTATTTCGTATTTTCAGTCGTGAGTAAAGAGAAAGTTTCAGTCTTCATGGTCGCAGTGGATTTAGCCACGAAAAGAATTTCTTTTGTCGTTCTTGAACACGCGTTTGAATTTTGACAATTTTCGAGAGAACAGTATCACAGTTCCCTCCACGCTTTAAAATGGAACCAAGTGGATCGTTGTCGCGAAGTTATATATCAGTTTCACTTATCGACGATTTTTCATCGTCGCAGTTACTGCTTTCTGCTGTGAATAAATAAACGAGGGACAATAAATAACGATAATTTCAGTTTTCAGTAATTTTCTCGTTTTCAGGGAAATAGAAATATTTTGGAGGAAATGCAAGAAACAGTGCGAGAATCTTCGTTTTGCGCGGAGATTTTTGGTATAAGTGTGTCGCACGCCAGTTAAACGATAAGATTACGGAAGAAGATAAGTTGCAGAGAGATAAAACACTGTTTGTACATTGGACCTGTAATTAATACAGTGTCTGTTCCAGTTTCAAAAGTGCCTGTCAGAATTTCATTGAAATTAATACTTTGATTACAGGCTACTTTAACTTCTTTTGTTTTTCTTTTTTGTTTTTGGTACATACCTCTTTAGATTTTAATCTCACGTTGTTACGAAAATCGCGTTGCTCTACTGCTTTTTAAACTATTACACAAGATTGCGAAAATATTAAACAAATTCTCAGACAAACGAACAGATTTACAGATCTAGGAAAGATCTGTGTAATAAATTGCACGCTCGGAGAATCGATAATTTAATGTATGATGTATTGTTTATTAACAACTCGACTGAAAATAACAGCGATAACAAAATAAATCATAAATATATAGCGATCTTTAAACATAAATGTTGGCAAAAAATACATTTCAAAAGAAGGAGAAATAGTACTCTAATTTATTTACTCCTAAACTGTTTCTATTAGTTTCTCCAGTTCGCAAGTTAAATGAAAAAGAGAAATAATAACAAATTTCGAAAATAAATTGCACTTTTATTCCGGACAACCTCTTGCACGATTGAACTAATAATACCAAAAGAACTTCACGAGTTGTAATCAGTATTAATAAACGTATTAATTTTTTTAGCTACATACGTTCTATATACAAGCAATGGTCTCTAAAGATTCGCAAAGAGTTTCTGTTCAACACAAAGTCGTGATCTACATTTACCGATTTGTCGAGTTTGTCACTTAACAAATAATTGTGCAACGAAGATCCAAGAATTCTCTTCGACTAAAAATTCAATTCTGTTGTCAAAATTCTCGATAGATAAGTTGATTCCTTCGACAGATAAATGATAGATCTTCGCATATTTCTCAGGCCGTTTTACACCACGTCGTGTCATTCGTGGCGGTTTAGCGCAGTTAAATGCATTGAACATTATTGAACATTATTCGCGAGGGCTGCACCGTTGTTGTATATAATTACGAGGCATACGGACTGCAATATCTTACGACTGTGCCGTGCCATTAACATACACGACGATCACCGTAATATACGTTTAGTTTAGTTTAGCGGGACGAGGGGTTGCCAAGCACGAAGCGACCCCTCGCGTGCCACCCGAGGAGGGTGCATAATTTATCGCTCCCCCCCCCCCCACCTCCGACCACCATAATGCAACACGTTACACGCTTGGCATGCATGTAGATTCCGCAGGTTATCGATGCTCCTTCAATGTCCGAGAGGGTGTAATATGCCGGGCCTAACTGCCGATAAATAGCCTAATCATCGATCGGAATTCATTGCTCTGGCTCCTGTCTTAATTCAATAACAAAGATTTAACGCGTGGCTGTTAAATCTTTTCCAATTGCCAATCGTTACTTGAAACGTTGGAAACCGTTACTTGGAAAATTAGGAAATTTCAAGACGCTACGTGCCGTTGGTTGAAAATTCATTATATTTCAAATTATAAAATTTATTATATTTTAATTCATTTTAATTGTACTAAAATTTATTTTAATTTATTATATTCTAAATTATAACATTTAATGGCATCCGTGCATGGTTGCTCGAAAAATTGGAAAATTTCAACACGTCGTGTAAATTGAGTTGAAAATTGTAGAATTTAGAGATATCGCTTTTCAATATCACTTTGCTTACACCCACGACCGATTGAATTGATTTTTGAAAGATGCTTCTAGTTCTACGTCTTTTTTCTCTTTGGACGGAGTAACCGTTCTATTTAATTTGTTAATACCCCGGTGGTGTCAGAAATCGGTTTCGCGTCCGTGATATACGCAGCAGTTCTGTACAAAAGGGTACGTTTTGACAAGTATAAATCATGATAACCTGTTCTGGCGATGGAACTCCGTACGCATTTTTCGTTGAGCAAACTCGGCTAGAGATAACCAATGAAAACAGAAGCAGTATAAAGCCTGGTTTCTTTTTTTTTCTAAACATTGTTCTGTACGAGAAGAATCTAAATACTCTGAAACACTGTCACTGTCTATGAGATTTCATCTTTCTAGGCTTCTTTTCTTCATCGAAACACACAAAGTACCCAAGTCACTGGCGAAACAGATTTATAAAATTCATAAAACAAATATTATATACATAAAAAAAAAGAAAAAATCGTCGTTTAATTTAAACAAAAATAGTGACTCGAGTAATTTTAATTGCACTCTCGTTAACTCTTGGTAACTTATAAAGGGAAATTTTATTGTAATGTGATACCTACTGTCATTCTTGGCAAAGGAAACGAAGTGTATACTTGCCGGTTTTATCGAGTTCAATGAAAAAAGTTCGTCACGTACAGACGTGGAAAGGTGAAACGACGGACGAGACGGGTTGACGGTGTGAATCAGTGGCACACGAATCCGTGAACTTTAGAGTAGAATTGATTTTTATTGTGACTAGATTACAAACGGGGCCTTTCGGCGCTCAATATCGCCCAGTAGGAACGTTTACACGTAGCGAGTGAAACGACGTAGGGAATGAAAACATTCTTCTGCGGGTATTTGCAATCACTCACCGTGGGAACTGGGATATGTGATTACGACGAATATTTGTACGACATTGGGATTCATACAAAATAGCGGTCGTTTCTTAAATCTAGCTTACGTCACTATTTGTTCTATAGCGTTATGGCTGCATCGACTTTCGAAGTTCGATCGATTCACAGTCGTTTCTTTCCCACTGTGTTTAAATCTTTTTTCTTTTTTTTTTTTATCGACGATGATATGTCATTTTCCTTGTTTCCTTTAAATTTAACTCTAAGAGTTCCTGCTGTGCGTTTCAGATTCCATATTGCCGAGCGAGCTTGTAATAATAATTTTATAATATTTTCCAACGGAGGAGAATATCTTGCGACGAAACGTAATGGAACAACGAAACACAAAAAAGGATGAATCGACGGACTTCGAAAGTACAGTTACACGTGCCCTGCAAGGATATCGAATACAGTTATTTTTTCTTTTTTTTTTTTTTCGTTATAATTACTCAATAATATTAATAATATTTATAACGTACGCATAGTCGATAAAGTGATTTCTTTCCTCGTACACTGTACAAAACACCGCTGGCAAACTGCCACCGATGGCCCGTTTCGTTTACTTACAGCCTGCGTATGCGTTTCTCTCTCTTCGTTTCCTCTCGTTAATTTTTGGTATTTCTGCTGGATAGTGTTATTATTATCATCAATTACAATATAACAATTCTGAAAGATATTTACGAACCGCGTGAAATCAGCGTCTACTATACATATATCTACAGAATAGTGAGTACATCTCGATCCGCGCCGGATCTATATTCACCCTGCCCTCGTTCCGTTCTATTTCTCTCCCCTTTCTCTTATTTCTCCAGTCCCCGCCATTAGGCATTCACTCGTCTTCTTCTCGTCGTTTGGAGAGTCTTGAAAGACTGTACGCAACGAGCGTTGCCCTTGAATAAACTCTGTTTCGAAACGCACGATATTCCGTGACGCGCGAGCACAGTAACCAATAACCGCAGGTAAAAATAAAATCTTCAGGGGGGATATAAAGCTCGTTGCTCGATAGATCACACTTTTTCAGCGATGTTTCTTTCCGTCTGTTTCATTCATTTCCTCGTTCTTTTCTTTTCGAGAAGAACGGACCGTCAAAAGTCAAAAAATATTGCACTTCGGCTCGAGTATTTGCTTGAAAACACTTTCGCACTTTCGTCGAATGCGCGAGAGGAAAGTAAAAAGAAAAAAAAAAAAAGAAAAATTTCGTCAAGCTCAATCGATCTTTGGGAAATTTAAAATTCATCCTACGCCCTCTGCGCGTATTCCGTTCGGTTTACGGACGAAGCATGCACCTCGAAACATTAAATATATTTATATATTATATACCATTATAATCGTTCGATCGTCCGTGCATTTACAATCCTATGTACAGTCTCCTCCCTTTCGCTCGCAGCGAAGCGAAGAATTCGTCGTTGAAATCTCGTCGAACTCGACGAAGAACAGCGTACGTGACAATTAGACTGCGAACTTTCGCGTTTGCGGGAAACCTGTCGTACGTAGTAGAATGTTTAAACAAGCGATTCCCGTTATTCACAAAATTCACAAAAAATATGAATTTGCATATATAAACATCCGCGGGAACAGATTGATCGCCGTTACAAAGAAATGCCGCGAGTCCTCGCAAAGTTCGATCCACAAAGAAGAGGAGAGGACGAGAAAAAAAAAAAAAAAAAAACACAAAAGGAATTGACTGTCGATCTAGCGCGTGTTTCGCAGCGTTCTCCACGTAGCCTCTAAGACTGAAACAGTATAAACGAAAGAGTATAACGATAATAATAAAAAAAAAAAGAAGAGAAAACGAAAAGAAAAATATTTAGCATCCCGAGCTGGGATGATATTACTGATATTTGTAAATCACTAGCGAGGACATGGCCGGCATCGCGACAGCGCGCGCTGTTCTCAGTTCTCGTCTCGCGGCAGAGAGAGCGTCTGCGAGGTGGAAGCGATGGACGGCGTGGTCCAACAGTCGAGCAACGACGGCCAGTAGCCAGTGGCGGTGGTAGCGTGTTGCCAGTAGCTGGCTAATCCAGCGCCACCGCCGGGACCGGCGCCAGAGCCACCGATCCCGATGCCAACGCCGACGCCGATACCACCGGCGGTGGCGATCACTCGCTCGCCCCCGATGCCACCCGACGCCTCGATCACGCTTCTGTCGTCCTCGATCTTCTGGTCCGCCGTGGTCCCGTCTTCGTCGTACATCAGGTAAGGGGGATGGGAAGTGGTGGACGAAGGGGTCGACGACAAGGTCGGCGAGGCGGCGGACCTAGGCCTGGGTCACTCTTGCGTTCGCAGTTGATTGTCGCTTTGTTGACCGGCGGCTGACACGTTGGCCGCAGCTCCCACCGGTACCACTTGGCTGCTACCTCCCAAAGAGCTCCCGGAACCGGCCAGGGAGCTTCTCGAATTCACAGCGTGGTGATGGGGGCTAGACGTAGCCCCCGCTTCACCTCAGACCTGGGCCCTGGCCGTCGCGTTCACGTGAGCCTCCGCGCTGCTCGGCGAGTGGGGATTCGCCTCGCCGGCGGTTGTTAGGGCGTACTGGCACGCGCTCAACGGCCCGCCACCGCCGACGGAGGGAGCTCGTGAACCGACGGGACTCCCAGCAGCGGAGACCGGCGTGCTGTCCATGCTGAACGAGTTGCCGCTCAGGCTGCTGTACCCGCTGCTGTGCTGCCTCGCCTTCAGTCGCAACGAGGCGATACTGCTCGACGTCATCACCGTACAGCTCTCCGGAGCTGCGGCCGTTCGATGGTGCGGCGTGTAGACTGGTGGTCCGTACGGGTGATGAGGCGCCGCCGGTGCCGCGTAGGGGCACGCAGCTCCCGTTGCCGCCACCGGTGAACCGGCTACTCCCAAACCCGATCCCATGCCCGGTAACATGGACGTGGCCGCCTGGCCGACCGACACGGACATACCGCCCATGTGGTTGCCCGCCACGGACGTCGCCGCCGCGTTGAAACAGTTGACGGGGCTGACTTGGGTATGATGATGATGGTGGGACGCGGTCGGTACCACCGAGCCCAACGTGTTCACCCAGGGGAAGCTTTTGCTGCTGAGAGGCGACGGCACCTTCGCCGCCCAGTTGTTGTACGTGCTGTACGAGCTGTAGAGCGCGTCCGGGTCGGCAAACGGCTGACCGATGAAACTGTTGAGGCTGGCGCCGAATCCGGGCTTGAAGTCCACCGCGTCGGCCGCCGTGTTCGCGTTGCGCGTCTGCTTCCGCCACTTTGCCCGCCTGTTTTTGAACCATACCTGCCAACAGAACGAACCGTCGCGTCAGACACGATTTTAATAGTTTGCCGGATCGATAGGCGTCGTACGTGATTGCCCGCTAAAATAAAGGCAAACTCCTCTCTGTTTGGTGATCTCGCGTCAAACAGGAATTTCAATGTTTCAATGTTTCAAGGAAGGATACGAGCCGATACGAAGTTATATCTCTCTCGGCCGAGAACGATCGCTACGCGCAATCAAACGTCGTACGTGGAAAACACTTCTAAATACAACAATTACCAGGAATTATCTTATCTTATCTCGGCGAAACAATTACGTCTCGTTGAAAAAGCAATTACAACCGCCTGTCCAAAAAATTCCCCGCTATCTAAACCGCGCCTATCCGCAGTCCCTCTCCTCGCTCAACCTCCAACTCTCGCTTCCCGTCTCGTTCAAAATTAATCTAAACACCCTGCCGCGCCTCAACTTTGCACGCCCACGCCCACGAAAATTCACGCGAAATCTTCCTTCATTTTCCTTTTCTCTTAAACATATGTTTATATATCGTCAGGCTGTTCTATTTGAAACGCAATTATCTCCTTAGTTATTCGTTGCAGAAATAATTCGTTTCATAAATTTATCTGGATGAATGTTTTTTTTTTTTTTTTTCAGAATGAAACTATGCGTTCCACGATGAATTCATCGGTTATTTCAAGGTTATTCAAGAACGTTCACTGCCGCTCAAAAGTCATTCGCGCTGCACGTATACCAAGAACTTTTCGAAACGTTTCTTCTCCAACGAATAGTTTCAGGAGATAATTGCGTTTATATCAAATGGGACACTCTTCTATTTTCATTCGTTAATGAACGCGGCAGCGCTTCGGTTTCCATTAAGAATGGCGAAAGAAGGAAACGCGGTGGGAGAGGGTTCGGCGTCTCTGTTTTTTCAGATTTCGCGCGGAAACGAGTCGTCCGAGCCAGGTATTACTCATGTTAGCCAGACGAAGGCGAAGTTCCACTCGGTAGACGGCCGAGTCCCGAGACAAATGGCAAGAAAACCCCGGCGAGATCCTCCATCCTGAAATATGATGGCGTTAATTCAAGGCGGCCCTCACCCGCGTTCGATACTGCGAGGGCGAGCCGCTCGTCAGCCGTTTCCACCCTCCTCCCTTTTCCCCCATTCGCCCTTCAACCTCGACCGCCAGCCACCCTCGCATCCAGCCCGTTCTCTCTCTCTCTCTTTCTCTCTCTCCCTCTCTCTTCGTGTTGCTTTTTCCACGACGCCCAACCAGCTTGCTCCCGACAATTATACGGGTGGTTGCACTCAGATACACGCCGCTCTTGCGTAACTGTAAGGCAGCCGTAAGGTAGAACGCTCGGTTCGGGATCGCTGCGGCCTGAACACAGGGTTCCAACACGGAGAGAAACAGTACAGTAGCTTGCGAAAGTACCTGTTCGAATACTCGCGGAAAATACCCCTTTTGTGAATCAAGAATGACTTTGAAATCTCATTGGAACTATTGGGAGATCTGGCGATTCTTAAAGGTTTTTAGAGGTTCGAACGAATCTGACAATATTTAATTAAGCAGATAGAGTGTATTTTGCAGCCCGTTCGACCTTTTAAATATTATATTATTTTTTAATTATTTTAAATATGAATATTTTTTAAAAGTTATACACCTTTTAAATATTTCATTGAAAATATTAATATCAATATTTTTCAAATATTATACACGTTTTAAATATTTTATTAAAAATATATAATTAATATTAATATTTTTTAAACATTATATACCTTTTAAATATTTTACAAAAAATATTAATATTAATATTTTTCAAATATTATACACGTTTTAAATATTTTATTGAAAATATTAATATTAATATATTTTAAATATTATACACCTTTTAAATATTTTACAAAAAATATTAATATTAATATTTTTTAAACATTATACACCTTTTAAATATTTTATTAATTTTAATTCTTTTTGCGTCTTCTTTTTGCAGTAAATCTACAAATTTTGTACAGACAGGGAATAAATGTAAAGATAGCTCGAGGGTTGAAGAGTTAGTAAGCCTCGATATACAGTTGGTCCCTCTGGCTTTGGTTACAGCCAGGTCCAATAAACGTACAAACGTATATAAATGTGAAGGACGCGTCTCTGGACAGTTATTGCAAAAATTATTTTATGGGACGACACATTTCGGCCAAAGATTATAACCATATGATTAGAAAGGACACAAAAGAGAGTCGGCTGACACTGCTGAAAATCTCTCTACTAATCTATTTTTCGCTCATTGTCAGTCGATTTCACCCGTTCGCGTCCGTCATTACTATTTTCACCGCGTATTCAGTGAGATTACATATATATATATTTAAGGCATACTGATTCTTCTCTAAATAAACAACCTTCTTTGCAACGAATTTCGGTAATGAAATTTCGAAAGCGCAAAAGTTGCTGGTAACAGGAGTTCGAATACTTTCGCGAGGCACTGTATCCACTTCCAGTTGGGGCGGGCGAAGTTTCCAGCGCGGAGGAAGGACAGACACGAGGAAGGAAAGAGGATATCGAGGGAGAGAAAGGTTGGAGGATCCTTGGCAAGATGGATGGCCGGACGATCCACGCGGTAGAAACGCTAAGAGGCGCGACGAGTCATTGAAAGAGGGGAAAAAGACACTGGCTAATGAAGAATAATGCCCTCCCTTTTGCCGATTATTCTCGAAAACGCGGGCGCGTAATCGCCGCGAGAGGTCGAGCAGCAACGTTACGATGCGTCGGATCAAAAGGATTACCAATGCAGTTTTCACGAAGATCGAGTTTTTCCAGAGTTTTTCCAGGAGGAATTAGGTTACTTTGCTTCCTTTTGATTGCTACGTTTGAACTGTAATTTCATAGCGTATTTGTATTTGTCGCGAGAGTGGAGAAGAATTTTTTGAGAGAAACGGTGATGTTTGGAGAAGGCATGGTGTTAATACTTTCGAAACTTGTGATTACGATTACTTTTAATCCTCTAGTTATTTGATTTTAAATTTTGTTCCAAACGCTCACCGATGACAGCGTGTATTATGTAGTATCGTAGTTGTTATATCTTTAATTGCGTTTCTGATTATATTAGATGACGTGTAATGTCTGCTGATTGTAGGAATGTGTGAAAAGAAAGTACGAATATGACGTTAATTAAAAGAGAACAGAGTCGTGAGGAAGCGTCGAGTGAATTGTTAATTAAAAAAGAGTTTACTTGAGTTGTTAATCCGTGTCCTTCGTCTCTAATTATCTATTGTTCCATCGCTAACATCGTTATTAAACAAATCATTTTACATTTTATCTCTGCAATTGTAAATTGCAAAACTCGCCACCTCACGTCTGAGTAGCGTAAAAATTCATCTCGCCTTCACCTTCCAATCGTTAAACATCTCGTCGACGATAACGGAACCGCGCGAACGACTCTGAAAATCCAAAGACGATACGACTTTCCACCCTCCCGGGTGAGTTTCCACGAAAGGGTCATAGTATGCCGCGTCGCGCGAGAAAAATATTTCTTCCCGCCCCCGCCTCACACACATATACAAACACGCGCGCGGACGGCGTATGAGCAAACTTTTCGTTGCCGATGGGGCAAGAGAACATCATTGGATTTCACGAAGCAACCCCCATAGACATGACACGGGGGCGACGGTAAGCCAAAAGAGGGGGAGTAAACTCGATAGGACAGAACAGCGGCCGAAAGATGCCGTGGCTCGAGAATCAATAAACTCTCTCGGGGAAGGCGCGCGCGAGTCGTTTCGTATACACACAAGACCGCGCCCATAAACTTGAACGCACAGCGACTGCCGAAGCGGAATTCGGCAGCCGACTCCTCTGCCGGCTCGGCTCATAAGCTTGATGAATGAACTTTCCGATCGCGCCAGTCACCGCGAGAAGTCGGCGGATTAGGGGGGGGGGGGGGGAGAGGGGGGAGAGGCGTCCTGGTAATTTTCGAAAGACGATCTTGACCGACGTTAACCGCAACGGCAGCGGCCATTTGTATTGCGAGGCTGGAGAAAAGTGGCGGAGTATTTCGGGCAAGTATTTCAACGTTCAACGCTGCAACGCGTGAAACCCTTTCGAACTTTGGTTGAAAGTGTTACTAGATAATTAGGACCATTGTTCAGATAATATTCTGCTTTAGAAAGCACTGCTTTGAATGTTTTGTGTATATATATATATGTTTTTTTATATTATGCTCTATGCTATTTTGTGTTAACATCAGAGTTATCAAAATGGTCAAAATGGCCAATTCAGGATGTTTACTTTTATAGAAATTTTATAAATGCAAGCACAGTGTACTTTTAGAGATTTAAATGATTTTTTTTAGCTTGTGTCTAATCTATTTAATTGTGAAATTATGGAAATATAGTAAGTTATAAAGTCTGTGCTATTCTGCAGTATTGACGTCAGAGCTACCAAAGTGGGTCAAAATGACCAATGCATAATCTTTGTTAGAAATTTTATAGATGTAAATGATTATCGTCAAATGTATAAACTTCTGTACTCCATTGAATTATAAAGTTATGGAAAATTTATAATAGTAGCTAATAATTCTGGTATTGAATATACTGAATATTGACGTTTATTAATACAATAGATAATTCTCGCACTAAATATCTCGTAACTTAATTTATTAAGTTGGCCAAAAAATAACTGCGTTTTTTTTGTGTACAAATGAAATTTTGTTTTTTATTAGAACTTTAATAGACAATATATTGTCCATTTTGTTCCATTACTTTTTACCATCTTTCAGACAATTTCATGATTCCGCAATTTCTTTTTTCTTTTTTAATCGTTCTTACCCTCTTTGACAAAAAATAATTTCAGGAACAATTTGACAATCGTAGTTTTAAGACTTCTTCACCATACACGTCAGGTAATTTTTTATGAGTCTGCACAGTTTATTAAATAATACAAAACACGTTGAAAATGTTTCTTTTGAACAATTACGAAATCGCGAAACACCAGACGATTGTTAACGAAATCGTGCATTTTCTTTTTCTGAAACAA